CTCCATGGCACACTGGTGCTTATATTCTTTTTAACAGTGTGAATTATTGGGTGGCAGCATTTCCTTAGGAGTTGATTCAATTCTCCATGGCATGAAATCAGCGCCAACTACAGCGTGGACGCAACAGCCCTTGCCCTTCCAGAAATGGCAGCGATGTGAATCCTGGCAGTGGAGGGGCCAGGTTTTATCCTGCCAAAACTGCTCTAATTTCTCCGAAACATTCCAGGTGTGGCCAGTAGAAACATAGTGCAAAGAGTCTTCCTGCAGTTCAGGTTCAGCTGGAAGCTGCCACTGCAGTGGGCTAAAGGGATGTCTCATGTTCAGCTGCCTTTCTGAATTGGGCTCTACAAGCCTGTGCCAAAGCACATCACCATCAGTGGAGAGAAACCCAGGTTTCTGAAGACTTTGGAGGAAATACCTGTGCTCAGCACCCCTGCCCCAAAGCTCCAAGTGATTTCTGTGCACCAGGGCTGTGATGGCCTGTTGAGGGGCTGTGCTGGATGCTCTGCAAACCCAGAGACCTGCTGCTGGCTCACCAGGGGTGGAGGAGAGGTGTCTGTCTGCTCAAAGATCATTGAATCAGACAGTTTGGGCTGGAAGGGACTTAAAAGCTCATCCGGTTCCAACCCCCTGCCACAGGCAGGGACACCTGCCAGTAGAGCACGTTGGTCCAGTTCCCGTCCAACCTGTCCTTGAACACTGCCAGGGATGGGGCAGACACAGCTTCTCTGGGCACCCTGTGCCAGCGCCTCAGCACCCTCATCATAAAAAATTTCTTCCTTATGATGAATTTGGCACTTGACAGGATGCTTTAGAAAATGCTTTTTTCCCCTCTTAAAACAAATATTCTGAAATCTAAATGTTGCATGGTGCATAAGCCTAAGCTTCATCAGTGCCTAATGGCATATTTGATTATTGAAACCAGAAGAATTTTAATACACCTAATTAGTTTCACATCGTTAATGTATTGATTTTTCTGCTTAATAAAAAAGTAATCAATCCTTATAGGTCACTTCTTTATTTATAGCTCCTTTTGCTTTCCTCTCCTAATAATACCCACACTCAATACTCAAGGCCTAAGAGGTGTGCGGTTTTCAATAGTTCACTTCCAATTCTTCTTAGGTTAAAATAATCTAAACTTCATGGTTGGATTTTCAAATAAGCCTAAAGAGTTTAGAGGCTTAACTGTTATTAGAGTTCAAAGCAATTTGATTGCATGACCTCTGTTAAAAGCCATTGTTCATACATGGAGGGATTTTCAAAGATACTTATGGCCCAGCTAAAAAAAAATCAATTACAGTCTCAGATCCCAAAATAGTTTTACTGGGTGTGCAGCAAGGGATTCAAACCCTCAGGAAGCAGTGCAAGTAAAATAGTCCAGCATTTGGGGAAAAGTATGATCATGTAGCTGAGTTCAGCGTGCGGGGGAGAGTTTAAGAGGTACATATGATAGGCTTGTGTACACAGCAAGGCTCTACTTAATGACAGTGATTTGGTGGCAGTTGTGGCAACTCATTTGTATGAAGGTGGTTGGTGTTGCTACAGCTTGTTTAATATGCGAAGAACAATCTGTAGCACTATAAAGTTGCTTTATACTAGTCTAAATGTGACCGTGTGAGAGACAATAGCAATACAATTAGATTGATTTTTTCAATCATATGCTTAAGCGATGTTTTATAGAGTCATAGAATGATTTATAATATTTATACTTGTGTACTTGGTTTGGGCTGGGGTAGAATTAATTGTCTTCATAGTAGCTGTTATGAGGCAGTCTTTTTATCTGTGCTAGGAACAGTGTTGGTAATCTAGGGATGTTTTCATTACTGCTGAGCAGTGCTTACACAGAGTCAAGTCATCTTCTGCTCCGCACCCACCAGTGAGTAGTCTGGGGGTGCACAAGGAGTTGGGAGGGGACACAGTGGGGACAACTGGCCCAAGGGATTTTCCAGACCATATAACATCATCCTCAGCATATAAAGCTGTGAAACTGGGGGAAGAAGGAAAAGGGGATGTTGGGAGTGATGGTGTTTGTCTTCCCAAGTCACCATTACACATGATGGAGCCCAGCTTTCTGGGAGATTGCTGACCATGGGAAGTGGTGAATTGCTGGTGTGTGCAGCTTTTGCTTTACCTGTTAAAGTGTATTTATCTCAACTCACAAGTTTTCTCATCCTCTTCCCATTCTCTCTGCCACTGGGGTGGCAGTGAGTGAGTGGCTGCGTGGGGTTTAGTTACCAGCTGGGGTTGAACCACAACAACTCGTCACAAGCATCTACACATCAGCCCAACCTTAAGTCTCCTTGAAATACCAGAGAAACAGCATGCTTAAATCTTCTTTTCAGCTCATACCTCAGATTTTGTGCCTCAGTAGTGCTGGCACTGCTTGGTCGGGCTGGTGAGTGAGTGATGCCTTGTTCTTGTTGTCAGCTTGGCTTTTGCACGTGGATGGAAGAGCAGTGTGGGAGGGATGGTGGCCATCTCCCACTCCTGCCCCAACAAGCCTTGCTGTTAGAAAGGTTTCCCCAATAATCAACACCCATACTTTTGGCTACACTTTAAGCCATTTCCCCTTGGTCTGGCCAGTATGGGAGAGAGTAGGTTGCACCCCTCATCTCCAGTGACACTTTGGGCAGACCATTACTATGACCCCAACACTCTTCCAACTTCTCTGAATTGGGAGCTCTGAGCTCCAGCATTGAGCTGCAGAGATGCTGCAAGGGACCATGACCCATGAAGCCAAAGCTGCTCGACCATCTCTGGTTTTCTCATGTCATCTCTTGTGTGAACATTGAGAGGCTGAAGGGAGGCAGGTAAGAGAGAAGGCTGTTGGGGGTCTGTGTGATCCCTCATCTGCCTTTCTACTGTTAGGTGTCTGCAGAAGGCAATTTAACCTATCATCTCTGCTGCTCCACCAGCCAGGGCATGGAAACCTGAGCTCAGGTTAACCTTTGGAACGAATGACAACAGTTGGAGAAGGTCCTGGGGCCTCACAACACTAATGAAGTTATTTTAATTACCTTTGGAAATGGTCCTAGCATGCAAACCCATGTGGGTTTATGTCTTCGGGGACAGCATCCTCAGGAATGGAGGGAGTGTGTAGGGATGGGTAGGAAGGAAGAGAGTGGGGGGACCCAGGAGGGAATGTGGCTCCACAGTGGCAGTGGAACTTGGTGCCAT